GGGATGGTTGGTTGTTGGTTTGTGGGGGTGGGTGGGAGGTGGTTGGGAAAATGTTGGGGGAAGGGGGGGGAATAAGGGGTGGGAGGTGAAAAAGTGAATCCCGCCTCTTCCGCCAGACAAAGTCAGGGAGTTTATGTATTATATATATGTATATATTATATATATATATATATATATATATATTATAAATATATATAATATATATATTATATATATATATAATATTTAATTAGAAGTAGATAGTGTGTGGCGCGTGGTATAATACATATATATATATATATATATATATATATAATATATATATTATATATATATATATATATATATTTATATATATATTATTATATATATATATATATATATATATATTATATACTATTAATATATTATAATATTATATATATACACACCCAACACTCCACACACACACACACACACACAACACACCACAACACACACACACAACACACACACACACACATGCACAACCCAACATTACACATATATTAGTATATAATATTATATATTATATATATATTATAATATTATATACATGCATTGTGTGTGTGTGTATGTATGTGTAATGTATATACATCTTATTTGTTTGGTGCGTCAGATATCTAAGAAACTACTATTAAGTACACTAAGATCCACTTACATGCCCAAATATGGGACGCTAATCAGACACTAAAACGTTAAAACCTGTTCTTAGGGTTTAACATCATAAATATTGGTTAGGTACTTTGGGAATAATGGCGACTGATAAGATATGTATATATTGATAAGCAATACATGATGTAAATGAAAGGGTAAAGGATGTGACATTGTGGTATATGAAGAAATTGTAGTGACAGGAGTGAATGGTAGAATGAGGTGGTAATGAGAGGGAAGAAAGAGGGTGGAAGAGAAAAAAGAGAGAGAGGAGGGGAGGAATGGGGGAGGGAAGAGAGAGAGAAGAGAGAGGGAGGAAAATGAGAGAGAGAGAATGAGAGAGAGAGAGAGAGAGAGAGAGCGAGAGAGAGGGGAGAGAGAGAGAGAGAGAGAGAGAGAGCGAGGAGAGAGAGAGAGAGAGAGAGGAGACAGAGAAGAGACAGAGAAGGAGGGGAGGGAGGAAAAGAGAAGAGAAAGGAGGGAGGAGTGATGGAAGAGGAAAAGGTCGGGAGAGAGAGAGACAAGAAAGACATATATAGATAGACATTAGAGAGAAGAGAGAGGGGGGAGGGGGCAAGCGAACAGAGATAACGATTATGTAAGTATTATTGAAGTGGAAATACATTTCTTTGATTCTATTGTTACACACACAGACAAACAAACATACTCATCAACAGTCACAACACACAGACACAAACACACACAAACCACAACACACAGCAACAACATACACACAATCAGACAACACACACTCACAAACACACATAAGAACACACACAAACACACACAATACACACACACACACCACAAACACATCAATGGCACATACTACACATATCACATACACACACAAACAAAAAACTCACCAATTGAGCACATACAAAACCACACAAAACACATACACACAAAATCAACACAACACATGTGGGCACACACCCACACCACAAGCAGGAGACACAAAAAAAACACACGAAAACAATAACACACAACACAGCAACATTGACACAAATTTCTCTAAAACTGAGGTGAGTTGGGTATGGGAGGGGGAGGGGGCGATGTGGTGGAGGGGGGGGCAAACCGATGAAAAAATTCTAATGGATTATACAGACTCTCCTTTCACCCTCCCCCCTTCCCTCCCAAACTCCCCATTTCAAGGCCTCCCACCCCACCTTCCGCCTCCCACCCACCGACCTTGCCGCCTCCCTCACAGCGAACCCTCTGCGCCCCCCCTCCCCACCCCTACTCTCCCTCCTCCACCAACTAATTGGATTTAACTTTGACTTTCCTTCTGATACAGTATATAAAATGATATATTTTCCGATAACAAGAGCTAACGTTGTTCTCGGGATAATCATTTTATTATTATATTAGGTTAGGATAAACAATCGTTCCTGGAATCTATTCAAAATATATAAGTATTTTGGAATATTTAAAATTACTTAAATTTCTCTTAATGTCATTCTAATATTCATCTAAATGTATCATAATATCTTTGTGTCGATCTGTTTATGTGTAATATCTTTATAAGTATATCTATATTATATTCTTTTTCTAATTGGCTATCGATATCTATCCTCATTCTACTGTCTGGTATGTATTCGTGTACGATGTATGTACAGACGCTAGCATACAAAAACTCACACGGGGGATAACAGCACATGCAACAAATTCTAACGGCACACGGCCACACACATACACAATCTCCACGGGCACACGAAATGCAAAATTCTAAACGCATTCTTGTATCACACACACTCAAATACTCACACGGGCTACACGCACATACACAACTTCTAACGCACACACACAACAAATACCTCACAGGGCTAACGTACTGCACACATTATAACACACACACACACACACAAATTATCACACGGGCAATACACGCACTATACAAAGATTATTAACGCACACAACACTACACAAATAATCACGGTGCATACATACTGCACAAATTCCTAACACACACAAAACCAATATCAAGGGAATACACGACATGCACAATACTAAGCAAACACAAATACTCACACGGGCATAACGCACATGCACAAAATTCTACAGCACACCACCACACACACAAAATACTCACACGGGGCAATACAGCATTACATGGCACAAATTCTAACACACACACACACACACACAAATACTCACACGGATATACACGCACATGCACAAATTCTAACACACGCACACACACACACAACACAACAATACTCACACGGGCATACACGCACATGCACAAATTCTAACACACAACAACACACACAAATACCACGGGCATACACGCACATGCACAATTCTATCGCAACACACAATACACAACACCACACCCAACACCACACACAAAAAAAAAAATACGCATGGCAGTCAGAACAACGCACATAACCCCCCCCCACCTATCCCTGTTCTCCCCCCTCCCCCCCACCCAATGCAATACGAGAAAGTTTCAATCAATTCATAATACAACGCGGGTGTTGGTATAACAATTTCCAAACTGTTTCCTCGAGTGACTTTGTGCACGTTAAACGGGTTGAGGACTGTGCACGTGAAGAAATGTATGAGTAATATATATATATATATATATTAATATATATATATATATATATAATATATATAATATTATATAACAACACACACACAAACACACACACACCACACACACACACACACACACACACATATACACATATATATATAATATATATATATATATATATATATATTATATAGAGAGAGAGAGAGAGAGAGATGAGAGAGAGAGAGAGAGAGAGAGAGAGAGAGAGAGAGAGAGAGAGAGAGAGAGAGAGAGAGAGAGAGAGAAGAGAGAGAGAGAGAGAGAGAGAGAGAGAGAGAGAGAAGAGAAGAGAGGAGAGAGAGAGAGAGAGAGAGAGGAGAGAGAGAAAGGCGAGCGAGAGAGAGAGAGAGAGAGAGAGAGAGAGAAAGACAGAGAGAGAGAGAGAGAGAGAGAGAGAGGTAAAACAGTCACAGACCTCCATCAGTCCCACAATTCTAATTTCTTGTTCCATTTGCCCATCATCAAATCAATGATAACAAAAAGTAGACAAATGAAGAGATTCATAAAACGACTTTCCAGGCTTGAATCCTCCCCCCCCTTTCTGTGGTAGGATGGCAAGGCTGAGGAACCATTCCGTGACATGCTCGATCCATACTTATGTATTTCCTTCATCCAGATCGGTGGGTTTCCAAACGCCTTTTCCAGGCTTTCGTCTCCTTGGCTTCCAGGGGGGGTTTCCTAAGGCCTCTCCCCCTCCCCTCCCCCTACCCCTCCCTTCATACACACATGAGAAATTTTTTTAATCATTTTTGGCTTCCAGGGGGGTTCCTAGGGCCTCCCTCCCCACCCCTCCCCTCCCTTCATACACATGCGAACACATTTTTATTTATTTATGCGAACACATTTTTATTTTTTTAACACACATGCGAACACATTTTTAAAAATTATTGATTGATTTATTTACTTATTTTATTTATTTATCTATTCTCTTTTTGCTTGATTTGGAAAAAAATAACACAAAAAATGTATTTTATAGATAAAACCTGATTTAGTAAATCAATAAAAAAAGTTTCAATAACAGTTACTTAGAATGAAATAATCTTTGACGGAATAAAAACAAACAAACAAAAAAGAATAAAGATTAAAGCGTCAGGCAAGATAATAATAATAAGTTCGTTTCCCTGTGGTCAAATTACTGTCATCTCACTTCTTTCTAAACGATGTATTGTGGTTTTGCGGTGATCGAGAAATGAAAAAGAATCTCTCATATCAATCATAATGTTTTCTAATATCATATTGTTTTCTTATACGTTATAAGGTTAATAATATAGAGTATTTACAGGAACAAAAATGGCGGTGCGTTATGTTCGATCATCAGTAATATAAGTATGCAAATTTCAGGATTCGGAAGCACATATGGATATAATTGATGCAATTGTGGTGTTCAGATCACCTGGGTTACACCTGAGGGACGTGTAATTAAAGAATAAAAGAGATAAAAGAACACTCATTAAAGAATACGGTTAACGGACTTAACTTTTTTTTTTTTTTTTTTTTTCGTCAGCAGTTAATCTTAGGAAAACCAGACTTCAAAAGACGATCTATTTTTTTCATGTATTATTTTCACACACCGACAAAAATATATACACAGGCTCATGGAATATCCAAATAGATAGAAAAAAATAGATAAAAGGAAGGGGGGGTGTCATGGAAAAAAGAGTGACTTCCCACGCATGCGCACTCCTCCCCCCCCCCACCCCCTCCCCCCCTCGCTCTGGACTTCACGCATTCGTAGGTTCCACGGTCGCCAGCTCAGTGATCCCCGAGC